TCCACTCACCTCAGCCTCCCAAAGGCACAGGATTACAGGCTGAGCCACCGAGCCTGGCCTATTTATTTATTTATTTTTGAGTCGGAGTCTCACTCCATCACCCAGGCTGGAGTACAGAGGAACTCTCACAGCTACCACAGTGTCAACCTACTGGGCTCTGGTGAACCTTCCGCCTCAGCCTTCCAAGTAGCTGAAACTACAGGAATGCACTATTGTGCTTGGCTAATTTTTGGTTTATTTTAGAGATGAGGTCTTGTCAAATTACCTGGGCTGGTCTCGAACATGTGGGCTCAGGCAATCCACTTGTTTCGGCCTCCCAAAGTTCTGGGATTACAGGCTGAGCCACTGAGCCTGGCCTATTTTTAAAAATAATTTTTATTTTGATGTTGCATTGTTTGAGTTCCTTGTGTATTCTGAATATTAATCCTTTGTCAGATGAATAGTTTGCAAATATTCTCTCCCATTCTGCAGGTTCTTTTCTCTGTGTTGTTTCTTTTGCTGTGCAGAACTTTGTAGTTTAATATAATCCCATTTTTTTCTATTTTTGTTCTTGTTGCCAGTGTTTTTGAGGTCTTAGTCATAAGATCTTTGCCCAGACCAATGTCCTGAAATGTTTCTCCTGCATTTTTTCTTAGTAGGTTCATAATATTGAGTCTTACATTTAAGTCTTTCATCTATTTTTAGTTGATTTTTGTATATGGTAAGAGCTAGAGATCCAGTTTTATTCTTCTGCAAATGGATATACAGTTTTCCAGCACCATTTACGGAAGAGGCTATCCTTTTTCCAGTGCATACTTCTTGGGCTCTTTGTTGAAAGTCAGTTGGCAGTAAATACATGAATTTATTTCTTGGTTCTCTAGTTTGTTCCATAGGTTTATGTATCACTTTTGTGCCAGTACCATGTTGTTTTTGTTACTATAGCTTTGTAGTATATTTTGAAGTTTAAATAGTGTGATGCCTATAGCTTTTTTCTTTTTGTTCAGGGTTATTCTGACTCTTTGGGGTCTTTTGTGGTTTCATATGAATTTTAGGGTTGTTTTTACTATTTCTGTGAAGAATATCATTGATATTTTATTTTT